TGAAGGCTGCAGTCGGTCTACTGACGGGCCCGGCCGGGCAGGATCCGTCGAGAAACAGGGGGGTCAAGGGAGGTTTTCTTCCCCCTGGGAGAAATGTCCTATGGGTTTTTGGATCTGCGATATAAAAAAGTCTTGTCTCGGTCACGTGATGTGTCACGTGACCGGTCAGGTGAGCCTGTCAGCCGGGTCACGGCCCCTGTCAGCCGGCTGACATGTCACGGGCCTGCTGACACGGTCCGCTGACCGGTCACGGCCGCCCGGAGAGATCGGGCCCCCGGCCAATCTCCGGACACTTAGCCTCCTGGCGGGCCTCCAGGGGGTCTGAGGCGGGGCTGAAGGCTGCAGTCGGTCTACTGACGGGCCCGGCCGGCAGGATCCGTCGAGAAACAGGGGGGTCAAGGGAGGTTTTCTTCCCCCTGGGAGAAATGTCCTATGGGTTTTTGGATCTGCGATATAAAAAAGTCTTGTCTCGGTCACGTGATGTGTCACGTGACCGGTCAGGTGAGCCTGTCAGCCGGGTCACGGCCCCTGTCAGCCGGCTGACATGTCACGGGCCTGCTGACACGGTCCGCTGACCGGTCACGGCCGCCCGGAGAGATCGGGCCCCCGGCCAATCTCCGGACACTTAGCCTCCTGGCGGGCCTCCAGGGGGTCTGAGGCGGGGCTGAAGGCTGCAGTCGGTCTACTGACGGGCCCGGCCGGCAGGATCCGTCGAGAAACAGGGGGGTCAAGGGAGGTTTTCTTCCCCCTGGGAGAAATGTCCTATGGGTTTTTGGATCTGCGATATAAAAAAGTCTTGTCTCGGTCACGTGATGTGTCACGTGACCGGTCAGGTGAGCCTGTCAGCCGGGTCACGGCCCCTGTCAGCCGGCTGACATGTCACGGGCCTGCTGACACGGTCCGCTGACCGGTCACGGCCGCCCGGAGAGATCAGGCCCGGGGGCCGGCCAATCTCCGGACACTTAGCCTCCTGGCGGGCCTCCAGGGGGTCTGAGGCGGGGCTGAAGGCTGCAGTCGGTCTACTGACGGGCCCGGCCGGCAGGATCCGTCGAGAAACAGGGGGGTCAAGGGAGGTTTTCTTCCCCCTGGGAGAAATGTCCTATGGGTTTTTGGATCTGCGATATAAAAAAGTCTTGTCTCGGTCACGTGATGTGTCACGTGACCGGTCAGGTGAGCCTGTCAGCCGGGTCACGGCCCCTGTCAGCCGGCTGACATGTCACGGGCCTGCTGACACGGTCCGCTGACCGGTCACGGCCGCCCGGAGAGATCGGGCCCCCGGCCAATCTCCGGACACTTAGCCTCCTGGCGGGCCTCCAGGGGGTCTGAGGCGGGGCTGAAGGCTGCAGTCGGTCTACTGACGGGCCCGGCCGGCAGGATCCGTCGAGAAACAGGGGGGTCAAGGGAGGTTTTCTTCCCCCTGGGAGAAATGTCCTATGGGTTTTTGGATCTGCGATATAAAAAAGTCTTGTCTGATGCTGTAAAAGTCCGATATGGGGAGTTTTAATGCTCGTACCATATGGCATCATCCGGTACTACAGCGAGTACATCAGCAATCACTGACAGTACCACTGTGACTCAGGACTGGAATGGGTCTTAGTATTGGAACTCTGAAAGTTTGGTATCGTGATACTATGTCGCATATCGAATTAGTATGAGATATTCAATATGTTACATGTACCGGGTGCTGTACACACCTAGGTATCATGTTTAGTCAATCGACTATCTAATCACCGGGCGTATCTTCAATACCAGTTTGGTCCCTAAAAAGAAACCAAGTTACCGTACCAATGGAGCTGCCATTTCCCTATCCAATCTCTACGCTTACTTTCGTGGATAATGCACAACACGGGGATCAACACTACGTGTGTATCCAAAGTGACAATCAATACAAACAGTCAGAGACAATTACAGTGATCGTATAATACTCTCAGTCGTGTTATCTCACACACGTGGATACTCCCGGAGTGCCTACTTTATAGTAAATCAAATCTAACTCCTGTCATTGTGAATTTGTTCACAACCGTAAGTCTTGATTGTTGATTGAGAATTGATCACATACGCAATTCCCAAACTTCGATTAGCCTGCTCTATACTAGTAGCAGCGTCAGGTTATTATAGCCTCGTGGTGATTCATTGTCAATCAGCATGAAAACTACAAATCTTGTGTTCATCTTCAACGACAGGATATTGCTACATTGTGACCAAAGCTCCTGAAATCAATCTAGCAACATATTTCTGAGCAAATGGACACAACATCCTGGATATTTCTATGCAAATAGTGACCAACATATTTTGAAAGGGGGCGAATGATCTATGTCATGTGACAAGTTGTTTTGCTATCCGATCTACACATGGAAATCAGTTGTAACATGTGACAAGTTGTTTTGCTATCTACACATGGAAATTATGGCAAGTTGTTTTGCTATCTACACGTGAAAGTTGGACAACATTGACAAATTCTTTTGCTATCTACTGGAAATTAGATGAAGTGCAAATGCATGAAGTTTACTTTGTTTGTTTCGACCTGTTACACGTCTAAAAGCAAAATTGTGAAGACTGAGATCACAGTACATGTGTGAAATTCGCACAACATGGCAAGCATCGAGAGATTACAGTACATGTGTAAAATTCGCACAACATGGCAAGCATCGAGCATGTGTCTACAACATGCAAAGTTCGACATGGCTGCAATGATCATGCTTTCGATGATTAAATGTTTCAACATCCTACTGTATTGTTACAAGAACAGATTCGAAGTGATGTATTGTTACAAGAACAGATTCGAAGTGATGCAAAACAAATTTGGTCATGCAAGAAATCTACTTTACAACTGAAGAAATCTATTCTACTCACTGACAGTGAGCCAAATATTTTTTAATGTTCGAAATTTTTTGTTTGTGATCCACAAGATCACAATATATGAGAAACTCATTTGTGATCCACAAGATCACAATCTATGAGAAACTCATTGTGATCCACAAGATCACAATCTATGAGAAACTCATTGTGATCCACAAGATCACAATCTATGAGAAACCCGTATTCGTTGTTAGACAAAGCTAACGACGAAGAAATGTAAATAAAGGTGAACGAGTTCTCTCGTAGTAAAATTATCTCACCAGTTGAGAAATTCAGTCCCAACAGTGGACAGATTTCCAACAGTGATGATATGTATCGATTTGTTAGTCAGGAAGTCCAGTTCACGAAGTGAACAGATTTCCAACAAGCAAATCTAAATTGAACTAACTTGTGTTTACTTACACAATATTGTCCTGAAATTCAAGATTGGGGCAAAATTTTCATAATTATTCCACATTGTTGATAGCGAGAGCATTTCTAAACATGCAAAGTGCAAGCGAAACTCTCAAATGACATCAAGTTGTATCATTCTGTTGACTCAAGAAGAGCAACATTGTGACAATTACTGCATAATGTATAGCAGCATCAACACTAATTCAACGAAAATTCACTGTCAACACAATTTCTGCAGGAATGTTTCTTGAAAATGTGAACCTATACACCGATTCAAATGCAATTTTGCATACATGCTACTTCAAGAAAAGGCAAAAGATACAATCTCTGGAATACATGAAAGTTTCATGATGAAAGTTTTCATCACATCTGCAAATGAATAGGATGTCACAAACATCCGACTCTCCTTCAGACAAATTGAACAACAATTTTGAATTTTGAGGAGATGTTCTTTGCTGAATATCTGAAACTGATATTTGTGGGTTGCAAACATGCATTCCGTCAGTTTCATTAATCCTGGAAACAGCAAATCTGGAGCAGAAGAAACAATTTGAGAAACGTCTAATCAGACAATTGAAAGCTAAGATGAAATGTCAGTTCTCAATTTGCAATCCAAGATAGCATAATGTCACCACCAAATGACAGATTGCAAATAATGTTAGAAGCACTTACTAGTCCTATTTCAAAGGATGAAGAAAGAGAACAGACAATGCTAACCTTTCAATTTCTCAAACATGTTTTATCCCTCCAAATCTTCTTGAACCACATAACTATGTGCAAAATGTTCAAGGAAAGAATCATTTGATTTGAGCACTGATTCTGAAGACGGGGAGAGCAGTGATTCTTCTCAATCATCACAAGGTCAAATCAGGATGACAATCGTGATGAAATTAAGAGTCAATGTGCATGTGATTCAATCTACTTAGAACCTAAAATACCTCCAACTTGTGACACAATTATCTGCAGAACAAATCAAAGAGATCAATGACGAATATGTGAAACATCCTGAAAACTTCACAGACATTGGTGATTTTACCAACAGTCTTGAACAAGAAATCGATCAGGATAACATCGAGTATGAAGAAAATTTGACTCACAATACGTCATCTTCTACTTGTGAACGTATTCAAGGCAATAGTGCTTCTAGTATTCTACTGAAGTGGCACATTATCAGTGGACATATCAACAGATATTACTTGTTACGATTTGCAAAAACATCAAAGGAATGGAAGAAGTTGCAAGACTGGATTCTCGTACTCCATTACCTATTTGTCATACTTGCAATCGAAGCAAATCTACAAGTACGAAGCTTCCTTGTATTTCGTTCAACAGATGGCAACAAAAATTCGATAGGTTGCACATTGACTTATCAACATACGAAGTACAATCTATTGAAGGAGCAAAATATGTGTTAGTTGCCAAAGATTGTTATTCTTCATACAAGACAGTCATTGGTCTATCAACTCAAAAGGCTTACAGACAAGCTCTTAGAGAAATTGTCAAAAGACACAACAATGGAGTATATCCTAAGAAACTAAGGATTGATAATGCTGGAGAAATGGTTTCACGAAAATCTATGGATTTCTACAGAAGAAAACACATTTTCATTGAGCGCATAGCCGCTTACCATCATTTTCAAAATCAACGAGCTGAATCTGGAATGTATTCGTTAGATACAAGAACACGATTGGCCATTGTGAATTGTAATGTACCCAAATCTTTTTGGCTATTAGCCATGTACTACTCAACAGAAATTGAGAATGTATTCTTGCCAACAAATCGTGGATCTGACATAAGCTGTTATGAAGCGTTTACAGAAAACAAACCAGATGGCTCACTATTCAAAACATTTGGATGTTTAGCTTACCTACATATTCCATCAAGCCAAAGACTCCAACTTGGCAGAGATAAAAAACTTGACGATACTGCAAAATGTTGTGTATTTCAGTATTTCTAAGATTTGCATCTCACCTTGGAATCAAGGGATATTTGCTTGCAAGCTTAGATAATCAAAATTTTATGCAACACCTGCAGGAAATGTAACCTTCAATGAGGAAGTTTTTCCATTTCGTCTATCTCACCCTGGAGATCGAAAATGGTCTATTCCATTTGGATTAGCACCAGATTTTGGTTCTAAAGAGGTAATTACCCTCAAGAATGCAGGAAAGCGAATGTCTGAAATGTCTGATTCTGATAACGAAGATGAATTAGCAAAGTTGATATCTTCATTGATGAAGCAAAATCAACACATCATACGAAAACAATCAGAAAAACATTAAGTAACTCAACCAACAGGCACAGTGATTGATGACATTGACAGTGACAAAGTGACAGTTGAGGAACAGACAGGCCAGAATGAATCTCATTCTAATGAGCACAGACAAACCATGGTAAATCAACCAGTGGTTCGATTGTTTGATAACTCTCTGCCTATCATTTCTCCTGATCCTGTCATCAGTCAATCTTCAATTTCAATACAACATCAACCTACAAAAATCAATAAGGAGCTTGAAATGTTGAAGGAATCATCAGAGCATTGTGGCAAGAAAGATTTTCAGTGGGATAAACTCCCAACATTTGTACATCAACATCAATTACGTTCAGGAAGAAGAGCAGATTTACTGCCCTGGCAGCAAGAAAATCTTGCACCCAGTGCTGAACAACATGATGAACAAGAAAGTTCTTCTGAAAAATCTTTCGCTACAGAGAGCTTATCACTGAATATTCATTAGCCTGACAACATTGGAAACGGAATTCCTCCTCAAATTAATCAAATGCAACACAAGCTATTTGCTAGAATCATGATTGACACCTATGTAAATCATCCGTATGACACAAACAGTCAATCTAACATGTCACATAATTGGCATTACGGACCTCAAAGGAATATTTTCTGTGCAAGAACATACAATGATGAAATTGATTGCATCATGTCATATCTGAAAAATTGCAAAAATGACTATGTGCAACATACTTGTATATCAAGGTAACAGATGTATCACATGGCATTGAATGCAATAACTCATAACAATGAGAATGAACCTACTTTAAAGCAAGCAATAGCTAATAACCCAGAACGAGAACATTGGATCCAAGCCATCAAAGATGAACATCAATCATGGCAGTTATTGAATGTATACGATGAATGTGAAGAGCTTCCTCACAATCGACAAGCTATCAACTGTCGAATATTGCTGTTGCAGTTGGATACCAACTTGTACAAGGCATTGATTACCTTGATTCCTTCTCAGCAATGGCAATTCCTTCACATTTATGACTCCTTATTGTATCGATTACCTCAAGCAGGTAGATGTTTCTGGATACAATTATGTAAGGATTTACAAGAATTTGGATTTGTTCCATGAACAGACAACTGTTTTTTCAGATATACATCCGAAAAAAGGGGAGAGATGTACATAGCACTGGTAGTTGATGATTTGCTTCAATCTACCAATGATCTAGCAATTTTTTTGAATCGTTCGATCAATTCATGCACCACAAGAAGTATGAAATTACAACAGACAATGATGTCTCATTCTATCTTGGTGTTGCATACAAACAAAATGAAGATGGATCTATTTCATCATCACAAAATGCTTGGAAAGATTTCACCTTGAAGGAATTGAAGTACGTATTCCAATGGATGCAAATTTTATCATCAATCCAGAAGATGTAGATGAAAATGCATCAGAAGATCTCGTGAAGTTGTATCGAAGCATGGTGGCGAGTCTGATATACATTGCCAATTGGTCCAGACCTGAAATATCATATGCAGTCTCATTACTATCTCGTTATCTTTCATGCCCAACGAAAAAGCTCATGACAGCAGTACACAAAGTGTATGCATACTTAAAAAACACCAAACAATTGGGAATAAGATACACGAAACAGGATGAGAATAGTCATGATTACATGCAACTATATGCATTTTCAGACAGTTCAGATGCAGATTGCAAGCTTACTGGTAAATCAACAGGTGGCTATGTAATTTTCTTGAATGGATCTCCAATTTCCTGGAAATCTGCAAGACAACACATTGTTAGTCTTTCTACGATGGAAAGCGAATACATGCAATGCACATTGACAGCAATTGAGATTTTGTACTTACGAGAAACAATAGAGTCACTTGGCTTCAAACAAAATCCAACTGTTTGTTATGAAGACAACAGTGCGTGCATCAAGTTAAGTCAAAACCCTGTCTGCAGAGGTCGATCGAAACATATCCATAGGAGATGGCATTTCATTCGAGAATGTGTGATTGACCGAAAGGAAATTACTCTAGAGCCAATCAATACATCTGAACAGATTGCAGATATATACACGAAACCATTACGATCAGATCAATTTCTATGTTTGTGAGATCATCTTCTCAATCTGCCAAAAATATCAGGCATCAAAGAAAATTGAGAAGCAACATAAATTCTGCACCTTGATGATAAGTGATTCAGCAGAATGAGGCTCTTGCATGCGACAGAGCACAGCAAGTTTAATCATAAATCTCTTGCATGCTCGAAACATGATCAGCACAACAAGATTCACTCATTAGCACAGCAAGATTAAGTTCTTGTATGCTATGTTACAACAGCACAGCAAGATTAAGTTCTTGTATGCTCATTACATCAGCACAGCAAGATTAAGTTCTTGTATGCATGATGGAAAATGCACAGCAAGATTAAGTTCTTGCATGCATAATAAAGAAGGCACAG